AAAAAAACTTTCTCAGTAATGATTTGATCAAAAATCATATATCTTATTAATAATAGGAGTTTTGATGATTTTTCATCAGAAATTATGACCTACTTTTCTTCAGTAATTTTGTTTTTTTCCCCCTGATTTCTGGAAAATTGCTGCATAAAAGGATAAAAAAACAAAAATGGTCTGTCCTTAAATAAATGTTTGAATTACTTACTATGAAAGTAGTTAAATTTAGTCATCACCATTTACTAAAGTATGGAAAATACTTGAGAAACAATAGAACATTATATAACACAATTTGGTGAGTTTATGTTATCATTATACTCGACATATCAGCAACTAACAAAGCCTTCATTAGGTAATGACAGGCAATTAGTATTTGTTACTTGTCATAACTAAGGTAAGGATGAGGAATAACATTTTGTTATTTTGATGCCGGCCTTTACCACTTACCACGTTGACAAACACATACAAACTGTGATACATTTAATATTCAATTTGACGAGTGTGTCCTATTTTATTGTTTTGTTTTAAGCCAAATAGAAAGATAATATGATTTTTGCTTTTTTATATAACCCCATTTCCAACCGCAAATATTATCTTAAACAAATTTCTGGGTCACTTATATCTACGTCGCATTCTTGAATCATGTCGCAAGAAAAGATTTCACTTCATGTATACAAGCCTATTTGCTTGAAATGTACTGTACAGGCTGTCCAGTGGCCATAATATTCCTAAAGATCCTATTTTTTTCGATTTTTGCTCAAATTCCTTAAAAATGTTGAAATCAATTCTATTCCTAATTTGTTGTGTATTTCTTCTCGAGGGGCGATCAGTGTATATCGTCAACTGGAATGCTGTTTTGAATGGCAAGCGAATCAAACCTAATACTTTAAATTTTCTTAATGGAGTGAAGATCCTCCATGGCGCTCAAGTATTTTTGTAAGTTTTTTAATTGTCAAATGTGCGAAAGTAATCGCACTAAAGTACAATTGGTCAAGCTGATGGCACATCTGTCCCTTTAAATTACAACTACAGTATGTGCCTGAGGACGACGGGGGAAACACGTCGAAACGTTGCATAAAACTTTAACCAGTGAATGTTGTTCCATAAAGCTGTGTCTATATACAGTTTTACCCTCTGCTCTTTTTTATGCCAACACTCTAATGGGAAAAGCCTGTCTTATAATTCTTATTTTCTTTCGAGAGCATCTAAAATTGATCCACAAATTTATGAAAACTGGTTGATCGTTTTTTACGTCAATATTATAATGTGATCTGAATGAAATTTGGTGCGACTATTTATATTGATGAGATCTTATACAAGATCGAATTTGACGAACTTTCGATGAACGGTTTTTGAGTTATTCCCCTTGACTAAGTAAAACACGTCAAAATTTAGTCTTTGAATGGCATTAAGAAATTGTGAGTGCGATATATAGACACAGTTTTATGGAACAACAATCACTGGTTAAAGTTTCATGCAACGTTTCGACGTGTTTCCCCTTCAGGCACATAATGATATGAAGTGATGGGCAAACTATATATACATTAATGTTTATTATTAAGAACACACAAGAGATGGTTTATTCATACATTACATTAAATTTTAACAGATCTAAATATACTAAAAACGTGTTTATCTTTTTGTTTTAATTTGGAGACAAACAAAGTTAGTAGTTATCCAATTACTTCATGAAAGTATCACAGCAACCATGACAGCTTTATCGTTTGAAGTTCAAACTCTGCAAATTGAATTAACATCACATTCAAAAACCATCACGCAGATTTGAAACCCAAAGCTGACATTTAACCCCTTTTTACGTATAGGATATTTTTAATATTTATTATTATTATTTAATTAATTTTTGATATTAGGAAGGTTTTTGTGATATTTAAAATCCCGCATCACGAGGGATTTTCCGAGGGAAAGGGTTTTAAATGTCATAAAAACCCGAGGGAAAGGGTTTTAAATGTTATAAAAACCCGAGGGAAAGTATTTTATCTGACTTATAAACCGATATTGAACCCTTATTTTAATTTTTATCGCCAAACTAAATTTTAATCCACAATGTCGGATCGCGCAAACACAGCATGCACGTACCAGTGATTAGAGTTAACCAAGTGGTCTGTCAGTTGTTTTCTATACTGTACTCAGAAAAGACGCGATGGACAGCGGAGACGACATTTTTCTGACCCAGTCTGTATTTACGCCGGAGGAAACGGTAAGAGACGACTTTCAGTACAGATTTGGGGAGCCTTTATGTGAAAAAGATATAGAAAAGAAAACAGGTGTGTGTTCCGAAATCAACAAGATATCGGAACTCCTGGGGGAGTGTCCGTGTTTTCAAGGTGGCAGGAAGAAAGAAGACTACGGCCTATGAAAGAAAACTTAGAATTGTCCGCCTCATGCTTATACACGCCATTATAAGGAATGGATAAAAAATGTTTGAATACTGCTCTGAAATACTTTATCTTTGAAGCACGAAAACAAAATGGCTCTGAATATCCTGCAAACAGTGTTTATGCACTCTACGCAGCAATTCAGTCCTCACTGAGAGAGAATGGTGTTGCCATTAATTTATTTGAAGATAATGAATTTCGGGAGGCCCGGAAATGTTTGGACGCTGCTATGCGCAATCTTTCTAAGAAAGGATTATGAAGTTCCAATAGAAAAATGACCGAAATCATTTCCAGCGATGAAGAAGATTTACTGTGGAAGAATGGGTCATTGGGCGAAGACTGCCCAAAGAGGCTGCTTGATACAATATTGTATCTCACAGGTATTTTTCATGGCTTTGATGGTGTTATTTGTAAATTGCTTTTCACTGTGTTCAGAATCATATTAATTCTGAGGCTCAATATGAAATAAAAAATATACATAAAATATATGATACATTTGGACTTTTTTTTACCGCCTTTTTTCTTGCCACCTATTGTCTTGTATGGTCGCAAATGTCCACGATTATTAAATGAACGTTACTGGTTACTCTAATTATTGTGATATTTTGTATTCTTCAGGGCGGAATTTCGCCTTGCGAGGTGGAAGGGAACACCGAAACTTGAGATTATTTTCAAAGCCATAAATAATAGGTCCGCACGTGGATGAGAAGGGTCGACGTTTTCTTTTGTATAAAGAAGATGTATCCAAGACAAATCATGGAGGCCTGAAGGACCGCAAAGTACCACCAAAGGAAGTTCCTGTCTACGAAAATAATCAACCATCTAGATGCTATGTCAGACTGTTTGAGAACTATCGTTCTCTTTGGTTAGTATTTATATTTTTGCCTCGTTAGACAGCCGAATATTTTAACTCAACCCACGTCCAATAATTATTCACGAAATAAACTTATCAAATCGACTAATTCAAATGTAACCATGAAAGACTAACTTTCAGAATCCAATATTATTGCGCATTTACACTGTTTCAGTTCTGATGGAAAAGATACGGATTACTTTTACTTTAATCCGATGATAAATTATAGTCAAAACAAGTGGTTCTCTCGTCTACCAGTTGGGCATAATTGTCTACAGATGACCATAAAGAGACTGTGTAAATCGGCTGGAATTCCGGGTTCGAAAACTGACCACTCGTTAAGAGCAACGGCGGCAACAAGGCTCTTCCAAGCAAATGTAGAGGAGCAACATATTTGTGAAGTGACTGGTAGGTTCATGTATATTATATTTAAGTTGAATCTCAACAATATACAGTCCGTTATTGAAATAGAATTATCACAATTTGGAGCCAATTTCTGTATGATCTAACTTGTTAATAATTTTTTACAAGCAGATCGAAGTCGTTTTTTTTATAATTAGAACGTAATTGTATTGTAGGACATCGTAGTGAAGCTGTAAGAGCTTACAAGAGATCATCTAACGACCAAAAGGAGAGTGTTTCTCCTGACTGGAGCAAAAGTTGCTCGAAAACTATTTCAAAATCTGAATTATATTTTGTTACAAAATGTATAAAGTGTAATATGCGTTCCCTGTAGCGTCTGGAATACACACTGATACTCAAACCGATTTCTTTCATTGACACCAATTATGTCAATGATACTGTCGGTAAAAAATGAATTTGGATTTTCAATATTAGTTTAAGAATAGAAAGCGGCGCGAGGATTCATAATCAGAAAAAAAACCTTAACTTGGAGTTTTCAGCGATAGGCTCAGAGAATCACAAAGCCTATTCTAAAATAAAGAACCAGAAAAGCCTAAACTTATTAGCCCATCAAATCTGGACCTACTCGTTCCTCGGATGTTATATAGGCCTACTGTTGCCAATATCCCATTCGTATTGTAATAACGGAGGAAAAGGTAGTGTCAGATTTGTCGAGTTAGGAAATGGTCAGTTTGGGACTTAAAATCAGGAACACCTCTGGGGTAAAGGTGTCTCAGTCAGAAAAATCATAGAAAGTTGAATCAGAATAAAGCTTCAGATTTAAGGCCAAATATGCGATTGGTACAACAAGGAACTTTCACAGAGTTTCATGAAAATCACCAGAAAAGCTAAGGAACTTTAAACTTCTTGAGGTTTCAGTGTAATGAAATCACTGTTTAAGGTTTTTGAACAACAACGACCACTGCTTGAAGTTTCAAAATTTGGATTGAGGTTTCAAAGTCAAGACAATCAATGATTGAGGTTTCAAAGTCAAGACAATCAATGATTGAGGTTTCAAAGTCAAGACAATCAATGATCGAGGTTTCAAAGTAAAGACAATCAGTGATTGAGGTTTCAAAGTCAAGACAATCAGTGATTGAGGTTTCAAAGTCAAGACAATCAATGATCGGGGTTTCAAAGTCAAGACAATCAATGATTGAGGTTTCAAAGTCAAGAAAATCAATCAATGATCGAGGTTTCAAAGTCAGAACAATCAGTGATTGAGGTTTCAAAGTCAAGACAATCAATGATCGAGGTTCCAAAGTCAAGACAATCAATGATCGAGGTTTCAAAGTCAAGACAATCAATGATCGAGGTTTCAAAGTCTAGACAATCAATGATCGAGGTTTCAAAGTCTAGACAATCAATGATCGAGGTTTCAAAGTCAAGACAATCAATGATCGAGGTTTCAAAGTCAAGACAATCAATAATCGAGGTTTCAAAGTCAGAACAATCAGTGATTGAGGTTTCAAAGTCAGAACAATCAGTGATTGAGGTTTCAAAGTCCAGACAATCAATGATCGAGGTTTCAAAGTCAAGACAATCAATGATCGAGGTTTCAAAGTCAAGACAATCAATGATCGAGGTTTCAAAGTCAAGACAACCAATGATCGAGGTTTCAAAGTCAAGACAATCAATGATCGAGGTTTCAAAGTGAAGACAATCAATGATCGAGGTTTCAAAGTAAAGACAATCAATGATTGAGGTTTCAAAGTCAAGACAATCAATGATCGAGGTTTCAAAGTCAAGACAATCAGTGATTGAGGTTTCAAAGTAAAGACAATCAGTATTTGAGGTTTCAAAGTAAAGACAATCAATGATCGGGGTTTCAAAGTCAAGACAATCAATGATCGGGGTTTCAAAGTCAAGACAATCAATGATTGAGGTTTCAAAGTCAAGAAAATCAATCAATGATCGAGGTTTCAAAGTCAGAACAATCAGTGATTGAGGTTTCAAAGTCAAGACAATCAATGATCGAGGTTCCAAAGTCAAGACAATCAATGATCGAGGTTCCAAAGTCAAGACAATCAATGATCGCGGTTCCAAAGTCAAGACAATCAATGATCGAGGTTTCAAAGTCAAGACAATCAATGATTGAGGTTTCAAAGTCAGAACAATCAGTGATTGAGGTTTCAAAGTCAAGACAATCAATGATCGAGGTTACAAAGTCAAGACAATCAATGATCGAGGTTTCAAAGTCAGAACAATCAGTGATCGTGGTTTCAAAGTCAAGACAATCAATGATCGAGGTTTCAAAGTCAAGACAATCAATGATCGAGGTTTCAAAGTCAAGACAATCAATAATCGAGGTTTCAAAGTCAGAACAATCAGTGATTGAGGTTGCAAAGTCCAGACAATCAATGATTGAGGTTTCAAAGTCCAGACAATCAATGATCGCGGTTCCAAAGTCAAGACAATCAATGATCGCGGTTCCAAAGTCAAGACAATCAATGATCGAGGTTCCAAAGTCAAGACAATCAATGATCGAGGTTTCAAAGTCAAGACAATCAATGATTGAGGTTTCAAAGTCAGAACAATCAGTGATTGAGGTTTCAGAGTCAAGACAATCAATGATCGAGGTTACAAAGTCAAGACAATCAATGATCGAGGTTACAAAGTCAAGACAATCAATGATCGAGGTTTCAAAGTCAGAACAATCAGTGATCGTGGTTTCAAAGTCAAGACAATCAATGATCGAGGTTTCAAAGTCAAGACAATCAATGATCGAGGTTTCAAAGTCAAGACAATCAATGATCGAGGTTTCAAATTCAGGGAATCAGTTATTGTGGTTTCAAAATTTGGACAAACAGTGATTGAGGTTTCAAATCAAGACAATCAATGACAGAGTTTTCAGTTTTCAGAGTTTTCCGAATTAGAATAATCGATGATTAAGGTTTCAAAGGAAAATCACTGCTTGAAATTTTAGAATTAGGACAATCAATGTTTCAGGTTTCAAAGTCAAGAAATCAGTTATTGAGGTTTCAGAATTAGGACAATGACTATCAGTGCCTGAGATTTTTGTGTTTTGCGTCTTGTGGTTTAGAAAAATTCGTGATTGAGGTTTCAAAGTCATGACAATCACTTGAGTTTACAGGGTTAATCACTAAATCCTTGACGAACATTTGAGAGTTTTTGAGAGATTTCATAATTTTATGGAATTATTGCTGACCGAAAAATCGTTGATTCTATCATGTTTTTCACGAAATTGAAGAAGTGTTTCTTAGCAACACTAAATTGCATGAAATATCAACAAAATATATTGAAAAAGTAAACTATTACTCATTAAAACAGTAAATACAGTTTTTATTTCAGACTGGTGGATACTATTGAGTAATTTCTATTAAAGGATATTAATAATTATCTATTATAAAGCACAATATATATATAGTAATTAAAATATTAACCTTCAGGATACTGTCTATTGTTTAAATTATGATAGATATGACATTGTTAATTGCTTATAATACTCTGGTAATATTAAACTCACTTCATGTGATATTACAATGACACGCACTGGTTTTTATTACGATGCTTCAGGGATTTTGTAATATTGTTTGTTCATTAGTTCAATTTTTAACAGAAAATCTTTCAGCTTTTAATTTTAAAGGAATTCTACCCCATAGAATACACTCGTCCTACAGTGTTTGATTGTAATCATTGGTTAATTTAACGTACACTTTACTCATGTTTTTTTTTGAAAGAGGCAATAAAAGCGTCTACGTAATATAATAATCAAATATACGACTGACACCTTTATATTGTACTATTTTGACGTGTCATTTATATGTCAGTTTGTTATTACGGGCAGAGGTGTAGCGTGACCATTTTGACTAACGTCTAAGTTTTACCGACGAGCACGTGGTCATTTAAACGCTCCTTAACGATGGTTTCCCCTATTTTCATTTATGAAAATGCTAATACTTATATGAATAGAAAGTAGAGGTGTTCTAATGACTTGTAAAAATGCTAGTTTTTTTTACATGTCCATAATTAATTCATAATTAGCTAAATTAGAAGATAATACCAGCAGAATGATAATGCCTGGAGCTGTCGGTATACCCGATTGGTTCGCCGAAAGCGTGAAAACCTTGTTTCGGTTATAATGTTACCGGTAAACTGTTCTTTTATATTAAAAGTGGTTGTCGGTAGAGTGTATCAGCTGTTCCAAGCAACAAGTTGTAAGCAATATTTCTCAATGACTTGAAAGATCCCATGCATTGTTGTCCGGTTTTCACGCTTTCCGTTAACTGATCGGGTTTACCTACGGCTTCGGCAATTACCGTCTTTACTGACAGCCCAAGACTTTCAAGTCATTGATGACGTTTTGCTTTTAATGTAAAAGAACAGATAACATCATAACCTACACACGGTACATGGTTTTCAGATTTTCGGTAAACCAATCGGTTTAATGACGGCTCCAGCCATTACGATCTTTTATCACTCTTTTCAATATCGCGTATTTGGTATACGATGACGTAGGCCTAACCCACATTAACAGGACTTTGGTATAAATCTTTTAAAAATGTTGTCATTTACTGTTAACCAGGTAACCATCTCATCGATGGTAGAGTAGGCCTACTTTTGAGCGTATAAACATGGTGACTGCTTAATTCCTTTTTTATTTTTAAGGAAACGGGTGGGCGTTTGAGGGGCCAAATCGTACTAATATCTTAGATATTATCTCTCATTAAGTTTAGAACTTTTCATAACCCTCGTATTCATCTAATAAAATCAAATAGTTGTAGTCTGGAGCCACGACACGTATTACATACAGTGATGTTATCAAGATTTGATTGTATAGTCCCCAGAGAACTGATATTACAGTTGTTTGTTAAATCCTAAACGAAGAATTTGTATGCCTGTAACGAAGTAAATATAATCTTTATCGACATGTACTAAATATGACTTAGTTTTAGTGAAAAGGTATTTAATTGGATGCAGGCACCTAAGGGAATTCTATGTTTAGATTTCGGGAATTTTCATATACTGGAATTATCCTTAATTTCAAATAGATAGAAATAGGATTATCTAATAAATTAATCAAAACGTGATAATATCAAAATGAAATTAAAGTTTACGCAATATTAAATTACTTTACGTAATACAACCAATGCAGTATGCAATGACAGAAATGTCACCTATTGTATTAGCCCACTTTTGAGGGATCTTGAACGTTTACATTCTCTTTTGATTTTCTAGAAATATGAGCCTGTTTTGTCCTTTATCATCGCTGACCCCTATTTACCTTGTAGGCAACTCCCAATGACATCCTATTCGTCTTGTATCCTCTCTGATCTCTACTTGTCTTTTATCATCTCTCGCCCCTTTTTGCCTTGTGCAATCCCTTATTTTGTCATGCACCCATCTGACCCCAACCTATTTGCTTTACTATCCCTCTTGGCCCTAAATGTGCATTGTACACTCTCTGACCTTGATTTACCTTGTACCATCACTGACTATGTTCTTCTTTCTGAACCTTCTTTATACCATCTCCTGTGTCTCGCGTTACTTTGCACTCTGCCCTAGGTGTATTTCCTATTTAAGCATTTTGTATTGATAATACCTTGTCTTGATCGTGTGCTAATGTTATTGTAGTGTAGGTTTGTGGATTTTGATTCTTTTTTTTATTTTGGTTTGTCAATAGCATTGGGCCTTCAGATGTGTACAAAAGGGGTACCTAGTTCTATTTACAGTGAAAAACGAAAAATGATTCATGCCAGGAAAGGGAAATGAAGAGAAATGAAAAGATCAACTTTAACCACATTGCAATTTGTTGTAGGCTACTGTCTGAACTGTAAAAATGGCTGGCAGGGGGTCTTGGTGCTCGAAAGAAGCCCAGAAATTCCCCTTTTCCGCTCATTTTTTGTAACTTCTTCGACATAAAAAATACGAGGTTTCATTTTAACTTTAATTCTGGACACACATGGATATGAAGGTTCAAATTTCGACGGTGAGATGTGGACATTTAATACTCAATAGAAAAGCAGAGATTTATGATTTCTGGAGCGATAAAAGCTGGGCAATTGAATCTCTCCCACTTTTGTCTGGATAGAAATAGTTTGTAATATTAACAACTTAAGTTCTGATTTTCTGCATCAAGAACGGCTTAATCGTATTAAACACTTTTCAATTTGGGTTCATAAACAATTCAATGCAAGTGAAGGTTCATAGCAAAGGGATTAAAACGTTTTTGGGGTGTAACTTTATTACGAATAGTTATATCGGATGGTTAATTAAGTACATACCGTCAAGATGTCTCAAAGAAAATTCAAATGAGTGATATCAAACCAAAAAATCTGGACTGAATTTGAGCTGGCAACCTAAGGAAAAATATAAAAGCTTCACAGAGGTGTAACTGCGCATCAATTATTGACCGAGATATCTTGGCTGTTATTTTGTTATGTGTAGAAGGTGAAGAAAGCGTCGTGTGTATTATAACCTTGAGAAATACTTTGAGGTCATTGAAGTGTTTAATTATATATGATGGAATGATGGAATGACTTGCTAGGCTGTGATAGGACCTTCATTATACATTTATAAATCCCATGTGATCTTTGAAGCAGGTTTTCCCACTCTTTAACATAAGATTTCATTTGTCAAACAAACCTCATGCAAGTGTAAAAAAATCGTGTTTTTATACGCCCACATCTCTCTATGTGGACGTATATTGTCGGCACCCCTGTCCGCCCGTCGGCCCGTCCGTCAACATTTGCTAGTAAACGCTCTAAAAATTAGATTTTTTGATGGAATCAAATGAAATTCGGTATGTGTATACATATTCTTAAAACGAAGATCAAGTTCGAATTTGAGCTATTTTCGACCTTTAGAAGCAGAGTTATTGCCCTTGCCCCAAAATCTTGAATATGCTATTACTCTCTTAGTTTTCAACCGATTTTGATGAAACTTAAAATGGATGTTATTGGACCTAAATCGAAAGGTTTGAGAAAGTTTAGTTTACTTCTGATTAAATTTAAGGCTTTTTCAAGATTTAGTCCTCTTACATCAGTTTTAACCTCTATACAGTAAGTGCTTCTATCAACATCAATTGCTTGTAAACACTCTAAAAACTAGAGTGTTTGAAGGAATCAAATGAAATTCGGTATGTGCATATGTCCGCCGGTCTGTCCGTCCGGCTAAATTTGCTTGTAAAAGCTCGAAAAACTAGATTTTTTGATGGAATCAAATGAAATTCGGTATTCGGTATTTATAAAACGAAGATCCAGTTCGAATTTGAGCTATTTTCGACCGTTAGAAGGAGAGTTATTGCCCTTGTCCCAAAATCTTGAATATTTACCATCTGCATGCCGTGGTGGGCGTATATGGCTGTGGTCCACTATCTTTCATATTTAGTCTTTCGTGATGTTTGGTGAAGTAGGCATAAGTAGACTGAGATATAGCCCGACAAATCTGACCCTACCCATTCCTCGGTCGTGATATAAGGATAAGGGTGTGATATCGTCAAGGTTAGGACAGGGATCAAAAGGAACGGACAGGGACACCTTTGAAGGGCTAACTGACAACTAAAGAAAGTCTAATCACTCGGATGGAGAAATAAACGGAGGTCTCGTGTATTGTATTATGATAAGTTTGAAATCTAAAACAAAAATCCACCTCAATGCACTTTTCATTGCGTTCCCTGATTACAATAGCATAATCAGGGCTACAGACATACGATGTAAAACATCACTTCATTTTAAGGCATGAATAAGTATTGTCGTAAAAAAATAATATATAGTGGAACTGATCAAGGAATAATGACAATATCATGCAGTTTCGGCCATAGAGTAGAAATTGCTCCTTTTTTTGTTTGCTATGTTTATTAATACTATATATTTCATTTGACCTCTAACGTGGTTACCAAACGCCATCAATATTGCAGAATGATTTAACCTTTTATTTTTAACCCATCTTTGTTTCAATTATCACATTGACCTCAAAACGATAATTTCTACAGACAAAACAGGAAATTTAATTTCATGATTTTCTATTTTTATACACTCGTAAAATATTCTGGGCAAATAACACAGTTCTATACAAACAGTCCACACTTTCCATTGAATTCGGGCAGTTAATTGTTATTTGGTCGGGTTTCACTGTTGACAAACCGCGTTCAACTGAAGGCATATCGAGTCCAACTGAAGGCAAATCACGTCGAACAGAAGGACGATCGCTTCTCACTTCTGACAAAGAATGGACTTGGTCATCTATAGAGGATCGCTTGCCGATATTTCTCATATGCACAGGGTCTATCTCCCGAGCTCCCTTCCTTAGTCTTGCATACACTTTCAGATATGTATAAAAGCAATCAGCTTGAGCCATAGTGTGTGGACAGAGTTGCCACACATCAACATCTGGAGGATGACCTCTTTTCTCATAACTAATCTTCTTTGGTTCTAGAGGAAGGATTTCATCTAAATCTGAAAAAGATAAAATAAGTCAAGTATTAATTAAATTAATTGTGTAATGGGATAAAGATATAATATGTTGAGATTTTATTTCGATTATGTCTTGACTATAGTAGATAAATGAAAAAAAACAGGAACCTGCTCAGACAATCAGCGATATCAAGAGGATGAATGAGTCAACGACTGTTTTCTGAAGACAAAATTCAAAAAAGCTTCTTAAAATATATTTGCTAGGTACAGAATTGTCAACATCGTTGTCAAAAAGAGGGGTTCAAAAGTAAAAACATCTTTTCGTTTGGAATTGACCTTGAACTTGCGGCTAAGATCCATCAATAGCAAGCGATGTCATTGTCCTTGCAAAATACACCCCTCCCCATCCCACACGCTCAAAGGGGTTGACCATTTCCGTTAATTCAATCAGAAGCAAACCAAATGATGATGAAAGGATTGGTTTGTGATAAATTCAATAGATGTAATGAGTATGGTTTAAGGGAATCAACATGATTCCGACCACATGAAAACAACACGCCTGAATGCATTTTTTATGACTAGACGAAGAGATAAGCTACATCAGATGACAGCTTTTCCTTCTGATATGGATGGGAAATGAACATGCTCTTGGCACAAGCAGTAACGAGTTGTAAAATATAAAAATTATCTCTGCAATCTATGAGGTCCATTAGTTTATGGAATATAATACCACTATTCAATATGGCTTTCGTAAAAGCTCATTGCAGAGAGCTAATGTAAAGACGAAATTTTCAAAAAGGCGATGCGAATAATTTTTTTTATCAAAGCTAGACCGACAAATTTGTTCCCACCTGTTCCTCAGACGTGATATACGGATGAGAATTTTCGCGGTTTGTGACATACGGCTGAGATGTCTTCACGGTTTGTGATATATGAGTGTATATAGTGCCCCGGTTCCTAACCTGGGATGTTTTCATCCCCTGGGGTGTGGGACTAGGGTGTCAGGGGTGCGGCCAACTGGTGTAAGAGAATTTATTTATTTTGAGTTGAGAGAGACCTCACATCATCACATGCTGGAAATGTGCATGAAACAAATCTTTGTGGTGTGCTAGATCCAGGTGATTGCTCCAGGGATGTGATAGCTGAAATAGGTTGAGAACCACTGGAACCACCTTAACGAAATCACATCTGTATATCACGTCTGAGGAACTTGTAGGGCCAGATTTGTTGGTCAAAGCAATAATATGCAATAACAATAACATGATACAAAAGGAATCTGTAAATTTACAATATATTTCAGTCTGTTCAGTCATATATTCTTATACCTTATAAGTTTTACAATAACATATCAAAAACATCCTAATCAAATACTATTAAATAAATTAAGAGTTGAAACATGACCGTAGGGCTTTTGTATTGATGATTAATTTGTATGAACTTGATGACAGGAAATGGCCATATAATTCTATCCATTTGTATGTTTCTTTGATTATATTTATAGATAGACCGAAACATCTGCCTCTATTCCCGATTCTGATAGCCATTTTAAAGCTGGTTGGTTGTTTTGTGGAGATTTGCTGCAGTTTCGAAGGTGCGAGCTTTTAAAACCTCTTTATTTACCAAACCCAGATATATTCGGAAAGATGGATACTTTTGTAGTTGAGTAATACAATCATCACCCCCCTACACCATTTATGTGACGTCTGCGGTTCCATTTTGTACACAAAACTGATCTCTCGTTTGTCATTCAAACTGTGTGCACAGCCAAAATGATCACAGAGTCACTTGGCATTAGCAAAACATAGTGATGCCCAACACTAATTTACAATCATCGTAAAGGTAAATTAACATTACGTTAGGAAAATCTCCTTAAAACAAGACCCGACTCTACTCTAGCCGATAACTGACAAGTATCTATATCAGAGGCCGGAACAGATGCAGATGTTTTGGATTAATTTATAGAGTGATTGTGTTTTTATTCGACTTTCTTATTTCCTTATTCGCATGGGAGAGAGAGCACTTTTTGTATCGAAAACAAATCAAGAAAATGAATCAGCTTTTAAGATACTTTTTTGTTCAAAATGTTAATCTAGCATGAGGATGTTATAATCAAATTTAAAATTAATATATTTTCCAATTGACCAAACCATCTAATTAAGTCCTGTTTGGTTGTCATTGGTAACATCACTACAGGATGACGACTGTATCGCTTGTCGTAGGCGTTGTTGGTGCCAGTTTCAAGGATGTAGACTTATTGACTATGGGAGATCATCTTTACATTGTAATATTTTTCAAAATGATAAAAGGTAAATCAATGGGTGGCATGCTGTAAAGTGTTTTAACTTCAAGAGACGATTAAAATATCTTCAAGTTTCGGAATAACGGAATAACCGGTCATTATCATTTTATCATCGGTCAGATAACATGGTTCTGTCTATATAAAAAACAAACACAAATTTCGTCAAAACTAAATGGGGACCAATATACGCGTGGCAGTTTATCACCAGGAAGAGGCGCCCGTAACAATATGGTATTGGTCAGGTTGTCAACAGGAAGGCCCACCTATCCCACCAACCCTATAAAATTACCAAGTCAGTTTATAATCACCCACTAGAACACTATAAAACCAGCGAGAATCACCCATTACAACATAATTTATTTCATTTCATAATCATCAAGCGTCAACAATTACAACACTATCAAATTTATAATCATTCAGAATGACCCATTACAGCAATGTCAAATCTATGATCAGCAAGAGTCACCCATTACAGCAATGTAAAATTTATGATCAGCAAGAATCATCCATTACAGCAATGTTAAATTTATGATCAGCAAGAGTCACCCATTACAGCAATGTTAAATTTATGATCAGCAAGAGTCACCCATTACAGCAATGTTAAATTTATGATCAGCAAGAATCACCCATTACCGCAATGTTAAATTTATGATCAGCAAGAATCACCCATTACAGCAATCTGAAATTTATGATCGGCAAGAGTCACCCATTACAGAATTATACTATTTTCATAATTAGCAAGGATCACCCCTTACAGCATTATATATTTATGATCAGCAAGAATTACTCATTACAACTCTCTTAAATACATAATCACCAAGAATCAACCCATTACAGCACTATCACATTTTTGATCTTCAAACAGCATACATTCCAGATGCCACTCACTTGTCATACAGACATGATGCAGATCTGTACAACCGGGCACGATCGCATTCATTATCGCACAATCTAAATTAATAAGACCACGTTCACCCTGAAGTCCGAGTGATATTTGTAAATTATAATGAATAATTGATAATATGGTAAATATTAATTATATATGTATTATTGTTTTCTATCATGTCCTTGTCGTGTAAACTTTACCTTAATTGGTAAATTTCGAAATAAATAGTTCGCGATATACAGGTCTCGCGATCGATTTCAGTCAAGATTTTTTAAAGGTTTTAAAAGGAAAACAAATACAATATTTAAAAGTGCCTTTGTTATGTTAATAACCGAGAGATAAATACCCAATTAATAATAGTAAACATTGATTTTTTTTATCACATTTATGATTTATTTAATCATTATTGCTTGATACCGTCCATTGTTTGACTCGGACAATTACTAGTTTCCAATACTTGCTAATAATATTCATGTCGAGTTTGGAACAATAAATATTTCAACAATATCATTATCGCCTACAATGATCGGAAGGAAGAATCCTAATTATTGGTTTATGAAAGCATTCAACACAAACTAATGAATAAGCATTATGAAATTGGTCAAGCATGAGATTTGATGAGTTAGTAATGTTCAATTCTTTACTTTTTTTCATCATAGCAGTTAAATGTTAAATCAGAGCGCTTATTTAGATGCTGAAAGTCAATTGCTTCGAAACAACTCAATTTCGTAGTTTTATTCACAGAACAATTCAGTATTGTGTGGGATCCAGAGTCCATATCGCTAGAATTGGATAAGGAAATTATCGATTTCGTCTTCAAGTATATCATCCTGTTTTAATGATGATGTTTTCCTCGTCTGAGGCTAAACTTAGAAACAGAATATAATCTATCCTAACTAAGAAATGTGATGCCACCATCAAAGCCGAATAGCAGGAATATACATTTACTGAAGTAGGTTGAAAAAAAGTTATTTTCTGCATGTTAGAATTTTTCCTTCGGCCATTTTCATGTAAAAAAAGAAGATATATATACTGCGAAGTTACATGTACAAATATATTACTAGAAAGAGAAAGCGGTAAGATATACATTTGATGGGCCCGTCACATACGAAAGACAGATGCGACGGAAGATGCCTTGGTGTCAGAGACTCTATCAAAAACAAGTCGTTCAACTTTCGGATACCCTAAATTTCAGAGGTCTATTTGAAAGAATTATGCGATTTTCGTACAGTTTTAGTAATTCTGAAGACTATTTACATATTCAAGGTCGAAATCAACTCCCGGAAATGTCGCATCTGTCCCCTTAAATAGTTGTTGCAATATCTACTTTCTCAGTCGAATTATTAGCTACAACTATTAGCCACAAATGGAATTGAGTTTTACTCAAATGAATAATAAGAATTAAATTTCCTTTGACAAAAACAACTGAATAAGAGAACAAGATAATATCTTTTTGCTTCGAGAGAAAACTGAATGTCTACCTCCAGGTATCCATTCTGGCATTTCATTAAATTACAAATGTATTTCAAAATATCGACAAATTGTAATCTACACTGCCTTTTAGCGATCTCAAAATATACCAGCTTTTATCTTTTAATTATATGTAAAGATGTAATACAACTGCCGACTTCGTGTTTAGTACATAATAATATCTTCAAGTAGAAATTATATCTAAAATTAATTCTCTCACCAATGCCATTTGTCATCGTTATTTTTTAGAACAACAAAATAACACATGTTAGTGCTCCATCATTGTAGTCTAATTGGAAGAAACTTTGACAAAAATGCGTGATTACTCTCGAGAACTATTATTTACCTTTTGAAAATTAACAGTGAAATGTTCAAAGGCACGCAAAAGAACTAATTTTTTTGTAAATTATATCTTAACATACTGATTAAAACCAAAATTCTCATCTTTTTCGATTTCATTTTTACAAAAAAAAATATTATTTACAACAATTGTCCTATTTTATAACTAGCAATTATTGTGATTTATTGCCTTTGAAACGAATTAGCATTTAAATCCCCGAAGAATATCTATTTTGTAATTCACTAAACATTTTATGTACTGCAATTCCAATTAATCTTTACTATTGTATAATTTATATGTCAATTCGTTAACAACTTTATGCCAAAACCCGCTTTTTTGGTCTAATGTAGATATTAATAAATGATAAAGACTCTGGAAACGATTTCGAAATAGTGTCAATTTCACAGTCGCTCAATCTAGTTAATGGACATTTGCATCATGTAAGTCAACGCAAAAACGTTAACCACCAAATGCAACCATTGGTGTAGATAAAGCACATTGTACAACTGAAATATCTTTCGTTCACTTACATTGATATTGCATTGTATATTTTTGATGCAACTTTTTCTGCACATAAAGGTAATTGGTAATACTGAATGTTCAATTATATATTGTTTTAAAAATCACTTTCAACTAACATTGAAGGGTAACATTGTTTGTAAGTCACAAGGCTTCAAAAACATAGCTCATGACATGTTTATAAAGGACTGTTGGACTGTTGGCTTTGAAATGAAATGAAATGAATTTTATGTCCTACTTTTCTGCATCATGTGAGCTATTGAAGACGGACAACGCCATGCAGAGTGCGATGGGGGAAATTTTTGCCAGTACAGCGGCATTAGTCTGTTCTTTTTCGGTTTCAACTGGCGAGGGATCTTTAACGTGCACAGTCTGTAGCACACGGGGGATATGTCATCAGTCTATCAGTTTCATGCACAACAGTTAAGATATCTACACGTCCACAAAAAAAACGGCACACTTTTCATTACCCTTCGGTCACAGTTGCAGACAGTGCAAAAATGAAAATGAAAAATGTTACCACCCCCAAAGGTGGTTTGTCCTAAGTGCAAAAATGTTGTAAATTCGGCTAGAGCATTTGAAAACTCATGTTTAAATTGGCACTTTCTTGTTACTAAACGTTATCAACACTGTCTACGAGAAGTGGCATTGGTTCATTAATTAAGTACCAATATAATTTTTCCGCCAACACGTACATTTTCTTAAAAGCTGCGTTCCTGGTATATTTTCACACAACGAGATGGAATTGTTAATATTCTGCAAGGAATAGCGATCAAATGTCACAATCTAGAAGAAAACGACGCGTAGACGTGTGTTACTTTGCATGGTCGAAAGGTAGCGCATTTTAGAGAGTGGCGTTTCTACGGTGGGGGTTGCTAGGGAAAGATGCTTGCCCGGCTTTGGCCTCAAATTTTTATCATTTTACAAAGGGAAAGAATAGCCTGTGCCCACCCCCAATTGAAAATTTTGTGGCCCCTGCTCGCCCCCCTCATCCGATGTTTCCTAGAAACGCCACTGATTTTAGATCCAATACTTTTAATGAGTATAATGATTAGAGTAATAATAGTAACCGTAAATACAAATAATAACACCAGAAGACCCCTCCGGTCTATAACAATACATTATTATTTCTTACTATCAGCTAATAATTCATTGACAGTTCAACAATGATCAATCGCTAAAAATAGAGAATGCTCTTTTCATTCGGTTTACCGAAATTAAAAACAGTTTCAAGTGATAAAATAGTGAGTAATATGAGATCCTTTTACATGTCTGCAATGTAAACGATATAATGTATTCAATGCCATTGGAATGATTTTACCTTATTGGCAAACGCAATTGAAGAAAACCATCGAGTGATTGGATATATTTATTATACCATTATTTATTACTTTATGCTTTGACAGTCTATTTATCGAAAGTAAAATGCATTCAGCTTTCGAGAATCAGCTCGTTTTCGGCGAGAAAGTTTTCGCAGAAATTATGTTTGGTTTTCAGTGATGTTAACGATGCTTTTAAAACAGGCAACAAGTTAATGGAGACTTATTAAGGACTTGTACACCTTGTTGCTTCAACTAGTTAACGTTAAAACCGGCACTTTTGTTATTATTGTTCTATAAAACTAATAATGAATTTAAGGTGCATTTAAAAGAAGTAAGTGTCCTGAAATGGACATGACACCACGAAAATAGATTCCATCGAACTTTGTCATTATTTGGCATTTGTTTCACGTAACATCTCAATGATTTAACATTTGATAGAAAAGGAAATTTCTTGTTGACATTCAAACTGAGCAATACAAACGTCATTAAAGACGTACAATATTTCAAGCAAAGTGGACGTAATTGGTTCCTCATTATGGCAATTATTCAGAAACGTCTAAGCTATTACAAAAATTTAGACAAAGTAGAAAGTGCTAAGAATTCCAAATGAAGAGGTCAGAGAATATATGAGAACGTACACTTTAGTTGTATCTGAGTAAATCTCATTTGACATATTCAGAGACACTTTAAAGAAAAAGACAATTTTGAACAGCATTCAAATCAAATTTTGGTGTGCAGTGAAATATAGGAGAAACATTCTAAACTTTATTTATGTGTATTGGAGACACTGATTCTATTTTTAGTCAGACGTCTGTGGTTCTTGCAAATTCACTATCACAAAAAATGCAAAAGATAAGAGCTTTACCGGTAGTGATGTCATAGTGCTCATCAATCCTAACACTGTCGCCGATCCCATCAAAGGGATTGTAAAGAGGTTTTCTAAAATGTTTATTTTATGTGTATCAGAAACACTGATAGCATCAATTTGCACCATTCCAATTTTCAATCAGACGCTGGTGGTTCCTGCAATTTCCGCCATCAAACACTCAGTTTTAGTGAAATTGCAGGAACAACAGACATCTGATTGAAAATTGTAATGATGCAATTGATTCTATCAGTGTCCTCGATACACACACAAAATTTAGAATTTTTTTATTATTATATTTTTCGAACTTTATAGTATATTTTAGGAGAATCATACCAAATGTCCACGAGAGTGTTTAAGAGATTCTGCGAATATATCGGTTAGATAATATAGCTAAAGTGTTATTTGGTCTGTATCAACAAGCTGTTTAGGTGAAAATGTCGTAATTGTTATTAGTGTGAATAATACCAACATAGTGTCCTTAGCGGCCGGTCATTACAAGCACCTATTGAGCGTGGTTATTGTATAATATAGTATATACATTACCGTAACTTGCTTTCTTTCTTTATAGTAATGACAGAAAAGGGGTTAGTTAAGCATCGACATGAACCAATTTCCGAGAGCACTGACCAATCCAACTCACGGCAGTCGATTGTACAAGTGTCGAGTCGGTGGGACGAGACAACGATCCAAAGATATGCAATATACTGATGGTTTTTCTGCAAGGGAGTTAGAAATCTTGGGAAATTTCTCACATTGTCATTTTTTGTTGTCACGTTTTGTAAAATACACTATTGTGGGCGTAATACTAAATTATGATCGTCATCTCATATCGGTCAGCGTATGAAAGTCTGGTGACCTTGAATGAGTCATTTCATTTTCAATACCAAGAGGTTTGGCAAAGGACTAGATGGTAGACACGGTCCTTGTGAACCCATCTTGTTATCCTTGTAAAAATGGTTGTTTCTTTTTCTTCTTTCAAAGCGTACAAATGTAAGATGATTATTAGCCCAGTTAAGAGTTACTATCTAATTATGTAGAATGTAGTGCCGTTTTCTTTTCCTTCATATTATTTCCTTCAAACATGGTTGTTAGTGCTCTTTGTTTCCTATCACACATGCGACCTTTATGGCATTGATCTTTCCATCTCGTGGGTGTTTCGTACACAAAATAATTCCAATTCTAGAATAAACGAGTGATTCAGATTCTTTGCCATCTGTGCCTTGGGAATCTAGGTTTTACAGCAATGCTAACAAAACACGACCATGGTCAAGATTTATATAGAAAATGTTGAATAGAGTTCTCTTTTTCCTTGGATGAAAAGCTCTTGGCAATGCATGAGGCAGTCAGAATGTTGTCTAATGGCAACTGCGATTTCTGCAAGATGGTAGTTGAGTATCTAATGGCAACTGCGATTTCTGCAAGATGGTAGTTGAGTATCTAATGGTAACTGTGATTTCTGCAAGATGGTATTGGAGTATCTAATGGCAACTGCGATTTTAGTCAGAAATTAAAACATGAGCGTCTTATAGCCACTGCGATTTTAGGCAGATAGTAGAGGATGAACATGAACGTCTAATGGCAACTGCGATTTTTTCCATATAGTAGAACATGAGTATCTAATGCCAACTGCGATTTTAGCCAGATAGCAGAACATGAGCGTCTCATAGCAACTGCGATTTTAGGCAGATAGTAGAACATGAACGTCTAATGCCAATTGCTATTTTTTCCATATAGTAGAACATGAGTATCTAATGGCAACTGCGATTTTAGCCAGAAATTAGAACATGAGCGTCTTATAGCCACTGCGATTTTAGGCAGATAGTAGAGCATGAACATGAACGTCTAATGGTAACTGCGATTTTTTCCATATAGTAGAACATGAGTATCTAATGCCAACTGCGATTTTAGCCAGATAGCAGAACATGAGCGTCTCATAGCAACTTTTAGACAGATAGTAGAACATGAACGTCTAATGCCAATTGCT